TTCCCATCTCCTTTAGTAAATGGCAATGCCATTGTCTGAAGAACAGCATCCATATTTGTTAGTTTAGGTCAGAGCGTTACTGGGTCCAGCATTCCCTCCCTCTGAGCAGCCCACAGCCTCTGGTCAAGCCACACTGCCCACCCTTGTCTTTGCAGCACCACCTCCCATGTGGAAGGCCCTGCCCTGGCCCCTGCCAGACCAACACCGTTCATCTTTGCACATCCCAACTTGCCAGCCGAGTGACCTTGAACTGGCCCTATTTCCTGTCCTATATCCAGGACTATATCCTGATATAGTGCTATATCCTATATCCTATCCAAGTAACTTTGGACTAGTCGTATACAACTCAGTTTCCTCATCCTTAAAGTGGGGATAACAACAGTTCCTGTTTCTTGAAGTTGTCACGAGCACTAAGAAGTTAATAAATGATAAGCACTTAGCAGACGTAAGCACTCAGTAGACGATGGTGATGACACTGGTCTTTCCTGAGCAGGCACAAGCCTTCCTGGGTCTCACACTTGCCCTGTTGACCCTGTGCTTTTATGCCCTGGTGGTCCTCTCAGTGCGGCACCTGTTTTGTCTCCAAAGTTAGTAGGGAAACCCCTAAGGCAAGGAATTTTTTGTAACTCTTGACGTCATGAGAACTGTTTACCAAGGGTTGGTTGGTTTGCTGAATTAACTCACTGAATTAACCAGCCTTTAATGGTGGTTAAGAACACCTGCACTCGGCCTAGCTTTGCCTCCGTAGCCTGCCATTTGCTGTGTGACTTCGTGCAAGTTAATTGAACCTTTCAGTTTCAGTTTTCTCATCTGTAAAATGGGATGATAATCCTGGCCATACCTCTTACGACTATAGTGAGATTTAATGGAGGGATGAGCTCAGAGGCTCAGCAAATGTTAGCTGTTTTTAGTGGTGGTGGCTGCAGCTGTGATTGGATGAAGACGTGAACTTAGGACAACAAAAATGAGAGCAGCAACCACCACAGAAAATAAAAGATAGTGCATGTGCCAATAGGACACCCCAAGAAATCTCTTCTAACTGACAGTAATAAAGCATTCGTGAATAGTGTAGGCTGGGTTGTACAGTGTTTGGGGAGAGCAGTTACAAAAAAGAACTATTCAATTAAAAAAAAAATCTGTTTTCCCAATATTCAAAATAGCCCTTGAGAGGGCTACCATTGAAATATTAATATATTTCCTTAACAAAGTCCTTTTTATGTAAAATCTGGATTGTGGATTTTTTTTTTTTTCCCAACAAATGTGAGTTTGGGTTTTGTTGGTTTTACTTTTTCTGAGTTTGTGATTGACTTTATCGATGTAGTAAAGTGGCATGATAGAGGCTGACTCTGAAAAAAGAGGGAGCATATTTTTTAAAGTGCCTCCTTAGAGGAGTTTGAGTTGAGTCACAGTAAATCCATCCTTGGCTCTTCAGCTGTGAAGCTAGTGAGGCTTCAGCCTCCTGGAGGGAAGGCAGGACTTTCCCACAGGTCTTACTCCTTTTATCAGTCCTGCTTCTGCAGGAAGGAAGGTCTTCCCTGGTGGTTCAGTCAGTAAAGAGTCTGCCTGCAATGTGGGAGACCCACGTTCAATCCCTAGGTTGGGAAGATCCCCTGGAGAAGGAAATAGCAACCCACTCCTGTATTCTTGACTGGAGAATTCCACGGACAGAGGAGCCTGGTGGGGTCACATAGAGTTGGACATGACTGAGTGACCAACACTTTCACTTTCCTTCAGGAAAACCCTGGGCAGCTGGTTTCATGCTGATGCAAGGCTCACAGCTGGGACTTGATTGATCTGGTCTAGGTGGGGCCTGAGCTCCTGGGTAACTGCTGCAGGGATCCAAGGCCCACAGTTTGCAGAACACGGCCAGCTGAGCCTCATCTAGGTTCTTCTGAGGGCTCCTTTGGAGGAGGGTCTAGGCAGGAACCAATCCCATTTCTGGCAGTGAGTGGTGTGGCCAGCCCATGGCTGGCTGTTTATGCTGTGAAAACAGGCTTTGGCTGATCCCAGAGCCCTGGATCAGGCAGCCACTCTTTTCAGGAGCCCAAAGCCGCACACCAAACCCAACTGTTAGCCCAAATATTACCTCACTGATCAGTTCACAGAGCAAGGGACCTCATAGAAGGTGGCCACTCCTGGACCTTTCTTGACCTTAAGCCTTGATGGTATCATCTACTTGTCACATGTTTCTGTTTGATTTGTTCTAAGCAAACGTCACGCCAATGGGCTACTACCTCAGTAACTGTTAGTCTGTGGCGCTCTCTACACCTGAGACTTGATTGGAAGGGGAAAGTCACCTACACCTGGTGGTTTACAGAGCTTCACTGCAAATGAGGATTTTTTTTGCTTGCCTGATTTAAATGTCAAAGCGTTAGATTGTTTGCTTCCTAAGGGAAAAGGCTGTTCTCAACATCTCTGTATCTTCAACAGTACCCACTCCAGGGCTAGAAAGCAGAGTCACTACTCAGATCAGCTGCTGGATGAGCCTGGGCATAGTTCCTCCCTTTCCCAGGCTCCCCACCTCCTGAACCCAGCTGGCCTCACTTCTCTGCTCCCTGGAATGTCCTTGCTTCTCCCAGCCTCTCCATGCTGAGGATGCTATAGAGGAAAACTTTGGTTTGGTCTGATGCCAATGGGGTAGTTTGGAGACTCTGTTCTCAGGGAAAATTCCTCCACATAAACAGCATGGTCAGTGGCAGTAGGGGCAGATTGGGCTTTCCAAAGTTGCAATGCCATGGGAACTTATTTTTCTCTCCTTCCATATTAGGGGGAGAGTAATGGGTGCAAGGGAGGTGGGTATTGTAATTTATACAGTACAGATGCAATAAAGTGCTCATACATGGACAGGACCAGACTGTCGCCCAGGCTCTGGGCAAGGGAGACCCTGAACCTGGTCCTAAAGTGAAGGTGAAAGTGTTAGTCACTCAGTCGTGTCTGACTCTCTGCGACCCCATTGACTGTAGCCTGCCAGGCTCCTCTGTCCATGGGATTCTCCAGGCAAGAATACTGGAGTGGGTAGCCATTCCCTTCTCCAGGGGATCTTTCCAACCCAGGGATCAAACCCAGGTCGCCTGCACTGCAGGTGGGTTCTTTTCTGTCTGACCCACCAGGGAAGCCCAAACCTGGTCCTGTGTGCGTGCGTGCTAACTCGCTTCAGTCATGTCTGACTCTTTGCAATCCTATGGTCTGTAGCCCGCCAGGCTCCTCTGTCCATGGGATTCTCCAGGCAAGAATACTGACTAGAGTGGGTTGCCATGCCCTCCTCCAGGGGATCTTCCCAACCCAGGGATCAAACCCACATCTCTTACATCTCCTGCCTTGGCAGATGGATTCTTTACCACTAACGCCACCTGGAAAACCCCTTTTAAGTATTTTGTGTGTTAGTTGCTCAGTCATATCTGACTTTGTGACCCTATAGACTGCAGCCTGCCAGGCTCCTCTGTCCATGGGATTCTCCAGGCAAGAATACTGGAGTGGGTTGTCATTTCCTTCTCCAAAGGATCTTCATGACCCAAGGATCAAACCTGGGTCTCCTCCTTTGCAGGCAGTTTCTTTACCATCTGTGCCATCAGGGGAACCTGGTCCTAGGCAGCTACAAACACAGGAAGGAAGAACTAAGCCTTGTCCTTGGTCCTTGCTCTCTGCAGAAGTAGCCATGGGCAGGGGGTGGTGCATAGGCTTGTGGGCATGGTCAGAGCTGGCTCCTACCAGGAGAGCATGTGCAGTGCCTGCTAGATGCCTGCCCCAGTATCTCCAGTTCAGACCTCTCATCCTTGCAATGTAGAATTTGGAGGAGGGGTGGTAGAAAACCGGGTGTGACTGAAACCCAGAGCACGGAGTGTTCTTAGGAGAGTGCAGGGGTGTGGACTGGGGTGCAGTAAGTGTGCCTGGTGGGGCAGCTTGAACAGCCGCCCGGAACTCGAGAAGGGGGCAGGTCAGGCAGTAGATGCCACCTGGGAAGTGAGGAGGGTTGCAGGAGGCAGAGGAATCTGAGGCCAGCCTGTGAAGTACTGGACCACTGTTAGGTTTCCCAGGGTGCAGTTTTAGGTTTACCTGTCTCCAGATGCTGAGTCACTTTTAGCAAACAAGTCTGCCCACCGCTCCCTGAGTCCTGAATGTCTGTCCTCACAGATGTTCAGTTGTGCTCCAAGCTCCCCGCCCCCGCCCCCTCTCCACAAAATGCGGCCGACGGAGAGCTTGAACTGAGGGCGGGTTGAGCCCAGTGTCTGCAAAACAGTCTTTGAATTTCTTGACTCAATGTGGGATATGTAGCCTGGAGTTTTCTTATGAAAATAGAACTTAATTTCACTGCTGGTGCTTTTGGTCCATGAGGACCGTGAGGAAGGGCATTTGATCTACCCAACTTCTTCACAGACCCGTTCTTGGTAGTTGTTCAAGTCTAAATTTAATCCAAGGCCTACATTTACACGGGTGAGTGTGCTACTGGTTGTAGGAAGCTGTCTTTGGACAAATGTGGATAATAGTTTGAGTGAATTAGCAAGTCTGGAGAGGAGAGTCCATCAGCAGAATGACAAATATAGGATCTTTAAAGACATCTGGTCAGCGATGCCGGAGCTCGTGATTGACTGAGTGATTAATAATGGAAAACCCTTAGTTCAGTGTTTCCGCCTTCCCTCACCCACATCCCCAGCCGGGGCCGGCCGTCTGCTCCAGCCTGCCAGAGACGTTTCCGCTGAACAATGGTGGCACTCAGGCCCCCTCATCTTTGAGCTCTGTGAGTTTAAGGTTTGAGTTTTTCTTCAGTTTTATCTGTGTGCTCCCTAAATAACAACTCACGGAAAAGACTCGCAATTCCCTTTCACATTTGATACAATTCCATTCCCCTGAAGGAGGGCGTCCAGGCGCATCTGACCTCCAGCTTGTTCACTGTCAGGAGCGCCCCTCCCGCACCCAGAGCGGGGGAACACAGGGAGCAAGTGGAAGTTTCTGTCCCCGGTCCTCAGAACCCGTCTCTAATTCCGGGGTGGATTTTCCTCCAGGCTGAAGCAGCTAGACAAGCACAGCCAGGCCACAGCCCAGCAGCTGGTGCAGCTCCTCAACAAGCAGAACCAGCTTCTGCTGGAGAGGCAGAGCCTGTCGGGAGAGGCGGGACATCTGAGACCCCAGGTAACGTGCGCGGCACCGCACCCACCAGAGAACACAGTGCGGTGCACATAGTGTTTTCCTTATCCCTTTTTAAAAAATCTACTTTTAATGGGAGGATAATTGTTTTACAATATTGCTTTGGTTTCTGCCATAAATCGGCATGAATTAACCATAAGCATACATATGTATACTGGGCTTCCCTGGTGGCTCAGATGGTTAAAAAAAAAAAAATCTGCAATGCAGGAGACCTGGGTTCAATCCCTGGGTTGGGAAGCCCCGCCCCGGAGGAGAGAATGGCTACTCACTCCAGTATTCTTGCCTGGAGAACTCCATGGACAGAGGAGCCTGGCAGGCTACAGTCCATGGGGTCGCAAAAGAGCTGGACACGATTGAGTGACTAACTAACTACACGTATGTCCCTTCCCTTGAACCTTCCTCCTACCTCCCACCCTTTCCCACACCTCTAGTTTGTTACAGAACCTCAGTTTGAGTTCCCCAAGTCATCCAGCTAATTCCCATTGCCTATCTCTTTTACATGTGGTGGTGTATATGCTTCCATGCTATTCTCTCCATTCGTCTTACTAGGCTGAAATTCCCAGGGGTCACATGGGTTAGCAAATAAGCTGGGAGGGAGACCCTGAAGACTGTTCTGGGCACAGTGAAGGGAAGTGTGAGCCCTGAATCTGTCCTTTTTCGGGAGCTAAAGTTTGCACAGGAGAGCAGACCCACAGTGAAGCACCCAGCCAGACAGGGCAGCACCGTGAGGGCACCCTCGCTGAGGGGTGCAGGCGGTGGGAGAGTGGGAGGCTGCAGTGGTCAGGAGCCTTTCTGGAGGAGATTGGCTTTGAACTGCCCCTGGAGGGTGTGTGTAGTTTGAATTGGTGGAGGAAAGGCATGCTCCCAACTAGGGGAGTCCTTGTGAACAGAATGTAGGAGTCTTGTTTTATAACAGCTGGTAATTGAGCTAATGTCTGGAGTGCTTGCAGAGGGTGTGGGAATGTTACCTAGATAACACACACTAACTCCCCCTATCCTTGAACACACCTGCAAGATTGATTATTGTCTCTGTCTTGCAGATAGGGAAACTGAGACTCAAACAAGCGCATATAGCTAGCAAGCAGGGACACTGAGAACGGAGCTGAAGTCTGACTCCGTGATCCAGACTTCCCCTGCTCAGGTTAGGTCTGTGGCCAGCAGCAGGGACAATGAAGTTGGGGAATGGAATGAAAGCTTCTTTTGCTACATTGCTTCTCTTCCTGTCTAAGAGGCTGGGCTTTTTACCCCATTGAGTAGTCAGTTAGGATGAGGAGGTGGTCCACGGGCTGGCCGAGGTCTCAGCCTCTGATCAGGAGTGTGCCCGGGTGCTCCAAAAGTGCCTGGGGGATGCCACGCAGCAAGTGCTCGGAATGATTAATGGGAAAAATGCATCTGGAAATGAAAATGATGAGAAGTCGTCTCATTCTATTTCCAAAATGACCATGAGCCCAAATACCCTTTGTGGGTATTACCTTACCCTTACCATACCATTTCTGGGCAGGGTATTGAGGAGCCACTGACCTCTGAGAGATTTTTCCCACTCAGCCCACCAGACCCCTCTGCAGAGTCCTCAGTGGTTCCACAGAGAGTGAGTGAGCACCCCCAGGAACCAGCCCCTGAGCTCAGGCCCTGGGCTGGAGACACACCTGCACTGTCTGCTCCCAGGAGGCTGCTCTACACGCCCTACAGTCACACAGTCATCCAGGATGCTTGTCAACCTGTAAATAAAGGAACATGGGTCCCAGGGCCTCTCCTCACACACACCAGACAGCACCTCTCGGAGCAGGGCCCAGGAATCTGCATCTTAACAAGCTGTTTGGATAATTCTGGAAGACACTAGGGATTGAGAGCCTCTGAAAGTGTTGGGAGGCAGAAGGAACAGAGGATGAGCCCAGGGTGTATCCATGGTCACTAGGGCCTGAACAAGTTGAAGTCTCTTCTAAGCCTCAGTGTCCACATCTGCAAAGTGGGTACCATACCAGCCTAACTCAGAGGGACGCTGGAAAATAAATGAGGGCAGCTGTGAGGTGCGTGGCAGGCTGTCTGGCATGTTGCAGGCGGAAGAAATGTCAGGGTTTTTCTTTTCCTCTCTCTTCCTCAAACTGGAGAAGGTCCCGGGAGAAGCACAGGTTGGGCGGAGATCCTGTGGGGCAGCAGCCATGGAACGACGTGCACTCCTGTCACCCAGCTCCTCCGACGTGCCCAGGTACCTCATCCTGCACTTGTGTGGCCCACCCACGACCGGAACTCAGCTTTCTGGGCAGGTCCTCAAGGTGGGGTCGGGGGAGCACTGGGTGGCCCCTGAAGTGGGGGGCCTGGGTGGTGCCAGCCAACGGTTGGGGCCGTTGGGCCTCCAGGCAGCCGGCGGAACCCAGGGCATGAGTGGAGCTCCCAGCCTCTGAGAGCCGAGAAGGACTTCAGAGTGTGGGTTGCGGAGAGTCCCGCACACAAGCTCCGAGCATGCGGCAGCCTCCTCTCCACTCTGGGCCAGATCGCTACCTCTGGGGTTTGCCTTTCAACTCCCCATCTGCCCACCTTACAGTCCGCTTAGACCTTAGCACGGCTCCTCGATGCTTAGAAACCTCGCCCGGGGCTTTAAACGCCCAATAATGGCCAAATGCATTGTGGAGTTTTTGTAAAATGCATCTTAAGAAAAGAAAAAAAGATAAACCTAAAACCTCAAAATTCTTCAGAAAAATCAGCAAAGCTTTTTTTTTCCCCCCTTGCCTGAAGCAACAGAAATGATTTGACATCCTATGCTATCTGATACTGGCCCATCTGGCTCGTCTGTAAAGGGATCTTTTCAGATTCAGATACTACATTTGGAGTTATTTTAATTGTGGACATGACAAAGGAAATTTGGTCAAGAAAATGTTTGCTTTCAGTAGCAAGTACTGGTGTTCAAAGACAAGGCAGGAGCCCATGCAGGTTTCTACTCTCTAAATCAAAGTCCTACTCTTTGTACCCGAGTGTGGTGTTTAGACCTGTTTTTGCCCCAAAATAAACTTGAACTGTTGCATTTAGCTTCCGATGAGGTCTTGAGGATGCTGTTTGTCCACAGCAGATATTCAGAGGGTGCTTGCTGCCTCCTGAGGGTTCTGGAGTGACCAGACACACCAACTCCACACCCACCCTTCTCCCAGAGAGAGTCCTCTGGTTTATCTCTGGTTTCAGCGTGGATTAGCTAAAGGCTTCCATTTTCCCAGCCTGGATGAATTAAGCACAATAAGTTAATTTTGCACGTCAGCCTCTAAAAATCTCAATCCATTGAATTATCACAAGAGAATGGCTATTTTCTGGCCTGGGCAGCTGCTCTAAAGCTGAGTCACATCCCTCCAATTTGCTCCTATGCCTCGGTCCCGTGCTCTGAAGCAGATGACAAGTCCGGGTTGGCCTGTGGCCTCCGACAGGAAACATCTAGCCTGTTCAGAAGGCTTTATTATTCTGAATTGTTTCTGCTTAACTTCTGAAACATGCACAACACGCCTGGCCAATGGTCACAGTCCTAACTGCCACTGTGACATTTTTTGGCCGTGAGAGTTCCTATATCCCCTGAAAGGCTGCTGACCTGTGGTGGCCAGTCCAGCAAGAGCTAGGCCAGCCCTGTGGCTTACCCAATGGACGTGGTTCAGTCTGCTGATCACCAAGTTCAAGGCTGCTTTTCTGACTTGTTCTTAGTTTAGGACTGATGAAAAACAATGGCTTTATGAATCTCCTGCTTCACTCTTGGAGAAAAAAACTTCTGGAAAAATAGCTTTTAAAACATCATGAAATGCTATGTTAGTTCTCCGGGAGAAATAAGAGATGTGCAAACACTAACCCAGCTTTGCACTGCAAACACGATTCTCTTCTGTTCTTTTCAGGGACAGTAGAGGACTGGCTCTGTGGTAGTGCTTATGGTTGTTTGGGGGTGGGGGGGGCGGTGTCTAGTATGTGGAACTTGGGTCCCAGAGGAGTTCTGGCAAGGGCTGACAGCTGGGAGCTGGGTCAGAGGTCTGTGACCCAGGGCCTGGGGCTCTAACATCTGGCCAGGAAGGGTGGCTCCAGCTGGTAAGGAAATTAGAGTCTTTTCTTGGGGAGAACGGCATCTGAGAGATGGGAGAGGATGGAAATTATCTGTCCACTTAGAGGAAGTCATTTATACCAAGCTTATTTTATTTGTGTCTCTCTCTGGCGGTGGGGATGGCTTCAGCCATGCGCATTCTCTGATAGCTCTGTCCCAACAGACTGCTTCACTCCATCCTCAGCGTTCAGTCTGGGAGAGGGGTCTTTGTAGTTCCTTTAGATGCGTCACTTACACAGTTTAGAAACAGCATCTGAAGCTGACTGATGGATGATTAATCAGTTGGCCCTATGACTTTTGAGCATTTTTGGCGGTGAATTTCCTTTCTAATTTGATTTAAACTTGTGTATGGATCCAGCAGACATATGTGATTATATTCAAAATCACGGACATTATCTCGCTACACCAAAGGATTCATAAAAAGAGCTGAAAGGAAGCACAAGAAACAAAGACAACAGATGATGACAAAGGCAGGAAAGGCCCATTTGTGGCCTGAAGGAAAGGGAGGGGCGCCTCAGAAATGTGAGCTCCAGTGAGAGCCGCTCAGCTACCCTGAGTGCCTGCAAACCAAGCCGGAGGGTCACCCCGCAGAGACTTGGAGGTGTCCACAGAGTCTGTGGCGGGCCTTCCTTGAGCCCGGGCGGGGGGGGGGCGGCGGGGGGGGGCTTCACCCAGTTAAATCAGCACTTCCACGAAGCTAGCTACCTGCAGGACAGATGGTGCTTGATAGAACAGCAAATACACTGAATAAAATAAATTAAAAAGCCTCCTCCTGAACCAAGATTTTTTTGGAAAGAATTCTAAATAGATGAAAACAAACAATTTGATTTCAACCAAATTGTTGTTTTTTTGTTTTTATCCTGATTTTCACCCGAATTGTCAGTCTCAAAAATAAACACTGATACATTCCCAGAAAATATTT